GTTAAAAGCGGTGCAATGCTAACTCTGGGCTGGGAGAGCGACTTTTTCACAACAAGAATTTTACATGTGAAACTGATGAATAAACTTTCCCTACATCAATGGTCAAGCAGACTGTTAATTTCCTCTTTTTGTTTTTCCTTGAAACATTAAGTAAAAGTGTGATCTAAACACAGATCAGCCACAACAATGAACAAAAACTAGGAAAAAGTAATGTTCTGTGGAGAAATCCTGGGTCCTGACATTGATGTTTATTTAGTTTGACTTGTACCACCTACCTAAACATTTTTGTAGACCCAACACACCTTGCCATGGTAATGGCACTCCCCAATGGCAGCAGTCTCCCCTAGTAGGACAATGTGTCCCATCACACCAGAAAAACTGTTCAAGACCGGTTCAACATGACAAAGAATTTAAGTGTTGACATGGCCTCCTCACTTTCCAGATCTGAATCCAACTGTGCACCAATGGGAAAGACTGGAACAACAGGCCCTACCCTGCAACCGCCAGGACCCAAGGGACTGGCTACCAATGTCCCGATACCAGACAGAGATTACTTGTCCACGCCCCAACGGGTCAGAGCTGGTGGAAAGAGAGGACCTACACAATATTAGGCAGGTATTCTTAATGTTGTGGCCGACTGGTGTAACATTTTTTGCATTGTTTATTTAAAAGTAAATGTATACCAGCTAATATACGGTCTTATACCAAACACCAAATCCTCCTTAAAATACTTTTTAACCCACCTATGTACCTATCCTTCTCGTCATGCTCTCCTCCCACAACGACCTTGCCCTTGGTCCTGTTGAGCAGTCCCATCAGACGAGTCCAGTGTTTAGGTGTTACAATGCGTGACATATCGGGGCTCTTCTGAATGTCACTGCCGTAGAAGTCCTCCAGGACCTGGCGCAACGCAGGCACAAGGGCATCACAAGTGGCTTTCGAGCACAGAACGTAATCCGGTGCCACACAGCTCTGGCCAGCATTGAAAAACTTGGACCACACCAAGCGGTGAGCAGCAGCAGTGGCATTCACCCGACCATATATTAAGCAGGGGCACTTGCCTCCCAGCTCCAAGGTCACTGGGGTCAAGTGGACTGCAGCAGCCTGGAGGACAACGCGTGCCACAGCCTGGGAACCTAACAAAGACGGGTGAAGACTCAGTTCCCAGAACAGAAAAGGATAATCTACATTTCAGTGTTACTAAGCCAACCAGGGAAAAGAGGAGAGAATTGTGTGTCACTTTACTATTGACATGCTGTATTAGACAGTTCATAATTAACTCATAATCATCTAAACAGTACAGTGAAGCTTTGGGTTTTGGCTATGTAAAATTCCTGACATTTGATGCATACCTGTGTGCTCTGAGGTTTTTACCTGTGTAGAAAATGTGGTCAAATCGATTCGTCAGAAGGGCTTGGGTCTCCTTTGCTCCACCGCTAACAACTGCATAACAGTCCTGTCAACAGTCATATCGTCACTGTCACATTCACTGTGCCCATCTCTATTCATAACAATTGTGAAAAGCTCATTTGTCTGTTACATCTGGTTGATATTATCAGTTATTTCACCTTAGACAGATATTTGGGGATGAGCTCCATTATCAGATTGTCTGTGGCGGCGCTGACTTCGGAGGGCTTGATGACCGCACAGTTTCCTAATCAAAGACATCAACAACAGGCAGCATGTAAAGGCACGTGAAGTCACAGCAGTTACATTTTCATGTTTATAAAATCATTCAAGGTGGACTCTAGGACGCGTTGCCATATTTGCAAATTCTGTCAGCTCACTTAAAAACTTTCGCTCTTACTTTTAGAAATATTACCAAGTTGAGTTCCACTGTGTCTATGAACTGTTAGTCATCCCTTTATTATTGAACTTCAAAACATCCCTAAGACGTCTGCAGATTGTTCAGAGCGCTCCTGTGAGGTATTCACATGTCACACCACCACGCCCCTCCCTGTTACATTTTTCCTGAGCTAGCATTAAATCTCTGAAGTCACCTCACTCCAGGTACCTGTGATTACATTATTGTCATCAATTTTAATGTTGCCTTCAGGATTTAGTTTTGCTAAAACATGTTTGTGGAACTACCTGCAGCAATGGCTCCAATCAAGGGTACGATGAGAAGTTGCATGGGGTAGTTCCACGGCCCGATGATCAACACAACTCCTAAAGGCTCCTTCCGTACAAAACATTCATCAAGCTTTGTGGCCTGAACAACAGAAAACATTACAAAATAAATTATGCAGCAAGAAAAGGCTTTTCAAAATGCAGGACATCCATAGATATATGAAGATATTCTGGATTGCTGTCAGTAAATGCTAGACATATAAAAAATATAAAATTAAAAACAAAAACAAAACGAAAACTACAAATGACAAACAGGCAATAAACATAAACTTCAAAGAAAAAAAAAGAACAATGCAGAAAGCACAGCACATGTCAGTCTTACTTTATGTTGTGCCATTTTAAGAGTCTCCTTTCATGGTATCCTTGAAAACAAATATTTATTTTCTAGAGAGGAGTGGGAAATTATTTGGAGACCAGTGAGGGTCAGTGTCTTCACCTACACGGATATGAGGCCCAGCTAAAACAATGCAGCTTAACTGGCTTATCCAGCGGCAGCCTTGTGTAGAGATGAAGCCGCTGTGTGCGTTCAAGTGGTTGACTGGTGGAAGTCAAACACATCGTATTTCAGTCTGTGCTCTCTTTGTTTAACAGTGATTTCCTAATAAATACGTTCAGAGTGAAGTTGCTACATTCATTCTCATCATTCTGCAGTGGTGAATTTCCTTTGGCACTGCCTGAAATCTCTCTGGGAGGTGCCAGGAATTTCTCTCTGCAGGAAAAAGACTGCGAGGACACAAGAGGTTCAACTTGTTTGACATGAGGAGTATTACTTGGGCCATGAAAACAGTTATGTAATGTTTCCTTTTTTTGTTTTATTTGGTCACACACAAACACACAAACTATTAATAAGTCATTTTTTTAACTTACCAAGTTTTTGCTCACATACTCCGGCTGCATCCAGCTTGTGAGGTTACCGAGGGCACAATGGAGCTCGTTCATCACTATTTCAACCTCAGACAGGATGGCCTCAAATTTTGGCTATTGTGCAACAACAGCAAGAAAATTAGTGCTTATTTAAGAACAGCAGACAACAATGCATAATCTACTAATAAAACCATTGGATTTATCGATTAAATTCACTAAACTATTCTCACTTTAATGTTTTTTAAAGGAGATGTTAACCACTTCCGTACAGTTGTATTACGGGCTTTAAAACTAATTGTCATGATTGCAAAATCATCATGACAGCAAGACAAACAAAAGCCTGAAGCTTTGGTTGCGTAATTATGTGTTGGAGAATTACAGTCATGTGTTCATGCTTTGTGTGGAACACGTGAGCACAGTCCTGTACCTTTGTGAGGTCTTTGTGCAGCGCGTTTACAATCTGCTCCTCGTTGTCTTTGATCATGGTCATTAGGTTGGTCAGCTGTGTCCTGCGAAACTTCTCCGGTATTGTAACACCCGATTCAAACGCTGTGCGCAGCCTTTCCAAAACCTGACTCTGGCTCTCCATTTTTTCAAGCTTCACAAAAAGAAAAGAAAGAAAACAAGGATTGTTTTCCCAAGAAGCTGTAACGGGCAACGTTAAACGTCATGAGAACCGTTACAAAAACTGTATGAATTATACCAAATGTATGTGTATAAAATCTGCATTTTAAAAAGCCAACCACTGCACAGCTCTTCACATACTGCTCCTGTCAGTCTTCTGACGGAATAGTTGGCAACGATATTTCAATTTGTGTAATTACTCTGACAGCGTTTGCATGGTTACTGTTGTGACAGCCTGTAATAAGGGCAGATGACTCATTTAAAAAATGGATTATGGAACCCTGTGAGTAACGTGAGCTGAACATTTACTCATCCCAGTAAGTCTAGTTTGGAAAACGCTGAACAAGACCAGCGAGTCTGAGAAATTACTGCCACACACAGCATTTAAACCCAGTACTTAAGGGTTTCGCAACATTTCACAGCGGGCGACACGGGCGGTTGCCCGGGGCGGCATTGTGGTGGGGGGGCGGCATCACGGGCATGGCAAAAAAAATAATAAATTGCTCGTACTCATGCTGCCCCGACATCATGCCAGCGCATATTGGGAACGGCATAGGCACCGATCGGTTTTCTATCGCCCATTTGCTGGGAGTAAGGGCGCCCTTCGTTTGCAAGGTGCGCCAGAGGGAGTGTTCGCCCAGGGCGCCAAACAGTCTAGGACCGCCACTGCACAGCGGATACATCAAATATTTGTGTGGCGAAATGACCGGAACACTGATTTTGCGGAATGGGGAAGAAATACCAACTGTGACATTTCCAACGGACATTCGCACGCTACTGTAGACAATGGCACGCGGACATTAACTGATAAGTGCAGTCAAACAGCACAGAAACGACGAATTATCAAACAAAAACTTTAACATAATTATTACAGCCTGACATATTTCCCACGCGGGATTTGGATGCCTATAAGTGCATTCGTACGCTAGCTGTTTGTGGTTAGGGCGAAAAAAACTTTTCCGTGGGAAGTAATTCCCGGGAGAGATGAACAATAGGTTCCAGTGTAACCACTTCTTTCAGCGTGGGAGTCAGGATTTTCTCACGATGGTTTAAACGGTTCTAACATTCATTTGCGTGAAGTAGCTAGCATTTTGCAAACAGCAGAAATAAAGCGAAGATACTGCTGTGTTTAGCCTACCTGCTACTGGGCTGGCAGACCTGCGAGCAGAAACCGTGCCGACGAAAAGCTGAAGACTGTTGACGTTTCCGGGCTTCACTCCTTTTTTTCGGAAGTACAGACACCGGCTTTCTTTGGCAGGGAAACACTTTTGGTCGAGCTAGAAAAACTAGCCTTAAAACTTGTCAAGCGGCAAAGGTGGCTGTTTTTAGTATACATTTCCGTGTGCGAAGCATTGACTGTGAGCGAGTTAAGTGTCGCAGTTATTTGGCTCAGTGGTCCCCCGCGGAGGGTTACATTTGACGTTTTTACGGGTACAGCAGTTATTCCTGTTTTAGCGTGAATAAGACAAACTCCCGTTTAAACCTTATTTACCAAAGCCAGCCTTATGTGCCCCAGGGACGGCA